AGAGTTAATTTTGAAATACACATTACATTACTACATTTCAAGGTGTTAAATATTATACTTTTAACTCCACCACATTTAGCTAATAATGCCTTTTTCAAGTTAAAAAATAAGTAGTGCTAGGCAACGATAACATTTTTTAATCGTGATTAATCGCATGATTTTTCTGTGATTAATCAAGATTAATCCCATTGTTATGCACAAAATTCAATAATGAATTCAAAAGTAGTGTATTGCACACTTTTTTCATTTAAAAGTACTGCTATGTGAACAAAAGTGCAATAACACTTGGTTTGCAAACACTTTAAACAAATAAGGTGCTTTTTACAGCAGTATTCCTTTTAGTAGCAGTTAAAATATTTCTTGTAAATCTCAACTTAAACATTAATGTAATCAAACTAAATATAAAACCAAAGCTATCTGCCACTGCCAGGGCATTAACATTTTTATAGAAAATATTTTATAGTTTGTTATAGAAAAACATGTTATGCTCAGAGTCCAGAGCCTCGATCATAACATTATAACAGGCACCTTCCGAGTAGAGACCTGCACTATCGTGGGACCCAACGCAACAGAGTGTGGTGCGGGACACCACTTGATGGGCGAGTGTGGGCGCGTGCGAGTAGAGACTCGTGTTTGCGGGATGCGGGAGAATAAGGGTGTTCTCACACTAGGCAATCTTAAAGGGTTAGTTCACCCAAAAATGAAAATTCTGTCATTACTTACTCACCCTCATGTCGTTCCACACCCCTAAGACCTTCGTTCATCTTCAGAACACAAATTAAGATATTTTTGATCAAATCCGATGGCTCAGACAGGCCTCCATTGACAGCAACACCACCCAAACTCTCAAGACCCATAAAGGCACTAAAGACGTCGTTAAAACAGTCGACGTGACTACAGTGGCTCTACAATAATTTTATGAAGCGACGAGAATACTTTTTGTTCGCAAAAACAAAACAAAAATAACGACTTTATTCAACAACCTCTTCTCTTCTGTGTCATTCACATACGTCGTTTACGTCCAGCACTTCCGTGTTCTACGTCCAAACGCCAGCTCATTATTGGACAAAGCTGCACATGTGAGCAACACGACGCATGCGTGTGATGCTGATGCAGGAGCCATCCAATAATGAGCCGGTGTTCTGACGTAGAACATGGAAGCGCTGGACGTAAACAACGTATGAGAATACACCATCGGATTTGATCAAAAATATCTTAATTTGTGTTCTGAAGATGAACGAAGGTCTTAGGGGTGTGGAACGACATGAGGGTGAGTAATTAATGACAGAATTTTCATTTTTGGGTGAACTAACCCTTTAACCGTGCCCGAGTGCATTTGACCCCCAAAGCCCGGTTCGTTTGACTAGTGTGATCTCTCCGTTCGTTTCGCCGTCCCTGGCTCAGTTGGAAGAGGTGGGCCAGAGCACGGTTCAGTTGTGCTCGGGCGCGTTACACATGTAGCGTGAGTGCTAAATGCGCCAGAGTGGAACTTATGATACGTGCAGCATGATTGCGTTAATATTTCTGAGCGGCAAAAGTGATAGATCTGTAAAGCAATATATTGTGAGAGGGTCGTGTGTTACTGCGTCCCAAACGACTCAAAATAATAAACCACAAAGTTAATAAAATGATGTACTCCACTGTGCTAAGCGAGAGCGCTTCTCTGCTGTCTTCACGAAAACTTATTATTTCCTACTTATGAAGTTGTGATTACGAGCACGTTGCATTCTTTTCTGATTAAAAATAACAGTGAACAATGGTTTGTGAGTGTTGATGCTTAGCCCAAATAATTTTAATAACTTAGGCCCACCCCAAATACTCTCATTGGTTGAGACACGTGATGACACCCATCCCAAGCCAGTACTGATTACCATCCCACCCCTCCTGTGACTCATGGTTTGTCTGTATGTGTATTCAGAGCCAGTGAGCAACGGACTTTCAAAATAATAATAATTTTTTTAAAACTGCGTTAATGTTCGATAAAATAATTGTCGGTGTTAATTAATTAATGTGTTAACACAATAATAACGTGTTAACTTGCCCAGCCCTAGAAATAAGTAATTTTTATATGTTTTTTCTCCTTTTTTTTGTCACCATTTTTAAAAAAAAATTATTAATTAGCTCACAATACCAGTGATTGATCCAGTAATCGGCCTGAACTGGTCAAAGCAGTTCACTCCAGTAACTCACTGAGTTGATGCAGTTGGTGTGGGTCTTTGAAATATTTGATTGTTGGAGTGAGCAATAAACTACCAAAATAGCTGTGTTTGTGAATAACTTAGGGACCACAGACTTGACATGGCAGATATTTGTGCTGCAAAATCAACTGCAAAGAGGAAGATTACAGAATTTGATTTTCATGAAGATGTTGACATAATATAAATAAGATAAGAATTATCTGTTATTTGACTCCTAATTTTAAAAAGGTAATATTATGAAACAATAACAACGTTGCAATCCTGCTGAATTTACTTTTTAACATCAAAATTGAGATTAACCATGCACTCACCCATTCATTTTCCAAACCACTTATCCTATATAGAGTATTTGAAATAATGTTCTTTCAAATGTGAATACACCATTCAGTTATTTTCATTTAGTCTAGCATAGAGTTAGACATTGCAGAGTTTCTGATAATAGTGTTTCATAACTCTGATGTTCACTTACTTTTGCTGTTCAGGAGCATCAGAACTCTGGACCAGATTAAGGAACTGGGACAATCTAGACCACAAAACGGGTGAACTGTTTCCAGTTTCTCCAGACTTTATGGAATGGATTTTCCCCATTTCTGTTGCAATCAATCTGCAGTCAATGAAAAGGCAATTTCAATTAAGCATATTGAGAAACTGAAATACTAATACTGTTAATAATAATAATAATAATAAAAACATTAGCTTTCATTTAGCTAAAGTATTTTAGGTAGCCAAATCTGCCTTCACTCAGCCATGTTGCGGCATGAGAGCATGTATTAGCACACAATCATAAATATGAGAATTCGATTAAGAAATATACTCCTAGTGATCCAAAGTGTCAATGGGTTAATAATACTCCACAAGAAGCACTGTGAGTGCATGTGCCTTTCATGTGTATTTGTGTCTTTGCGTGTGTGTGGTAAAGGCTCAGACCTGTAAACAGATGGCTGTCTAAGCAGTGTGTCATCCAGCACAACTCCTTTGACAAACTCATAGCAGATACCATTGGTAAAACTGCAGTACAGTTCCGGGCCACAGCCATGTTTGTGAAGCACCCGGAACATCTCCATCTCCTTATCTCGGTCCATAAAAAGCTCAGTCATCTGTCCATAAACCCTCACCAGTAAAATAGGGTCTTGCATCAGAGAGCCAACACAGCAGCCCATTAATTGGTTAGTGATGCCCTCAGTGAAAGCCTAGGATAATTAAAATAATAATAATTATTATAGCTGCAAATAAGGGGCCAAGCACAACAGAGGTCACATAAACAGCTAAGGAGCTTTAATTACTCAGTAAAGACTAAGGTTCTCCAACACTGCTCCTGGACAGCTACCCTCCTGCAGACTTAATGTTGCCTTCACATGCTATCGGCATTTTCGTGAATAGTTTCCTAATAGGAAATTGGAAGTGAACGGGCTCTCAAATCATATTTACTACTGGGAAACGTATAGATAATTTTGATACCAGAGTTTCCGAGCTGGGCAGGCCATAAACTTTAAACTTGAGGGGACAACAACAACGATTGCTGATGTCAATGCTATTCTTTATTAATTTTTGCCACAACAACTACATCACTTTGTCTTGTTGCTAAAGTAGTGTATTTATAGGCTATATGACTTCATATGTGGGGAATAGGACATTTCTAATAGCATGTGAAGGCAGCAAAAGTTCCAGCCCAGCTTCAACACACCTGTCAGTAATTAAGGAGCCTAAGACACCTTGATTAGCTGGTTCAGGTGTGCTTGATTAGGGTTGAAGCGGAACTCTGCAGTATGGTAGATCTCCAGGAGCAGGGGTGGAGACCCCAGTTTAAGACATTTGTTGATACAGCATTTACTATAAAATTCAAAATGGCTGATGGCAGACATAGGAAAATGAGGTATCTTTCAATTCGGTATGCATTCCAAATCTAATGACATCAATATTATGATTTTTGGCCAAACTGGTCAGAAGTTATAAGCAAAAAAAAAAAGTCAAATTTTGACCAGTAGGTGGCGTTGTGACGAAACTCATCATGTGCCCTCAGGTTATTCTCTTTATAACATACCAAGTTTGGTCAGAATCTGTTAAAGCGTTGCGGAGCTATAGCCTCATGTCCATTTTTGCACAAACTTTTTAAATTTGTTGATGTGCTTTATAAAAACGGTTTGGTATATCAAAAGCTATTGATAACAGACTGCTCTGAAGATGATCTGGGGTAATTTTGGTTAAATAAATTATTTTTGCAATGGTTGAGACAATTTTAATTCTGACAAACATACATCACTCACAAATTTTTCAGTACATGTTTTTTTTAATCTAGTAACAGCAAACAATGTTTTGTTTTAAGTGAACTTCTCAATACTTCAAGAACCAAAAAAAATTAATTATTGTGTAAAAGTCTCAATTGCAATTTTCACTTTTCTTGCTTTTTGGCAGAAACCACATGCCTAAACCTGATAACTGTTTCTATCTTTATTGTCAGTTATTGCCCTCAATACTGTAATTATCATTAATAATGTATTATTCTTTTTTTTTTTTTGTGAGTGTGTTTGTATCCTGGGAAACAGCACATAATATTCCTATGGGCTACACAGACAAAAAGTTGATAACCATTTATAGATTAGTTTATTGCTTTTTATGCATTACAAATCAAGACTTTTGATTAATTCTCTTAGCAGTGTGAAAAGCAAAACTGTTATTCAAATTGCAAATAAGTTTCATACAGAAAGCAAGCAAAGAATGTTCCCCATCACTGAAGTGGTCAATGACTTTCAGTGTGAGTTCTGCACATGTTAAATCTCCAATTATAATAACTGAAGCTGTCCACACTGCAAAACTAATATCTCACTTGTATCGTACCTGCACTTTGTTTACAATGATAGAATTCATGTGAGCAAAATTTCTTCTTTATCTGTGACTAATGTACACGCCTCTGATCTCAAAAGAAATGTGTGTGATCGGTTGTATGTTCAAAAAAAAAAAACTATGTGTAAAAATAGATTTTTGATGCAGTTTTGAGCAGATCTAAAGGTAATTCTGCAATCAGCACTTTTCATTCATTTTCACATTTAACTTTAATCACGACAGTCTGATTAACTGATAACTGATTGTTTAATTTTTAGAATTGTGCAGGGGCATTTTTGTCCCAAGCTCATTAATTCTGACCCTGAATCGCCCCTGATCTGGCATTTGGAGAAAACAATAGTCTGATCTGATCTGGCTTCCACTTAAGATGGCGCCGCTCATGGCAGCCACGGTGCTTCGCTCTCCAGTTGTTGTAGTGTTTTTGTTAGTTTTTCCTGTTTTTCAAACACGATCAGTTTCACCAGGGATGAACTGCTGAACATTCGGCAGAACACACCACAAAATCTCCTACCGGTTTTCGATTATTCTGATGTTTTGCTGAACATAGTAGTTGGCGGAGCAGCTGCGCTGATCAAACGCTTCAGGACGCGCAGACGGGGAAAGCGAGCCGGCGCGCTCGTGAAGCTCAGACAGCGTGGATTTCGAACGCCGTTGCCTAGCACCCATCTGGCAAATCTCTCCTCTCTACCCAACAAAACGGACGAACTTCTTCTGCTCTCCAAGACAAATAAGGATTTCTCACACTCTGTTCAGATCAGTGAAGATGATTTGCGCCAGGTCTTCAAGAAGAACAAGAGAAGAAAGGCACCAGGCCCAGACGGTGTGACACCAGCCTGTCTGAAAGCCTGTGCTGACCAGCTGGCCCCCATTTTTTCACAGATCTTCAATAGATCTCTGGAGTTATGTGAATTCCCTTCCTGCTTCAAATGCTCCACCATCATCCCCGTTCCAAAGAAACCCAAGATAACGGGACTTAACGACTACAGACCTGTGGCACTAACGTCTGTCATCATTAAGTCGTTCGAAAAACTGGTTCTGGCTTATCTGAAGGACATCACTGGACCCTTACTGGACCCCCTGTAGTTTGCTTACAGAGCAAACAGGTCCGTGGATGATGCAGTCAACATGGGACTGCACTTCATCCTGCAACATCTGGACAAAACAGGGACTTATGTGAGGATCCTGTTTGTGGACTTTAGTTCGGCCTTCAATACCATCATTCCAACACTACTCCAGACCAAACTAACCCAGCTTTCTGTCCCTAGCTCTGTCTGTCAGTGGATCACCAGCTTTCTGACAGATAGGCAACAGCTAGTGAGACTGGGGAAATTCATGTCAAACAGTCGCTCCACCAACACTGGTGTCCCTCAGGGATGTGTTCTCTCCCCACTGCTCTTCTTTCTGTACACCAACGACTGCACCTCTAAAGATCCCTCTGTCAAGCTCCTGAAGTTCACAGATGACACTACAGTCATCGGTCTCATCCAGGACGGCAACGAGTCTGCTTACAGACAAGCGGTTGAACAGCTGGCTGTCTGGTGCAGTCTTAACAACCTGGAGCTGAACATGCTCAAAACAGTGGAGATGATAGTGAACTTCAGGAGGAACCCCCCTGCACACCCCCCACTCACCATCATGGACAGCTCTGTGGCTGCAGTGGAGTCATTCAAGTTCCTGGGAACCACCATCTCCCAGGACCTGAAGTGGGACACTCACATCGACGCCATTGTAAAAAAGGCCCAACAAAGGTTGTACTTCCTACGCCAGCTGAGGAAGTTTAACCTGCCACAGGAGCTGCTGAAACAGTTCTACTCAGCCGTCATTGAGTCTGTCCTGTGCACTTCAATAACTGTCTGGTTTGGTTCAGCTACAAAATCAGACATCATAAGACTACAGAGAACGGTTCGGACTGCTGAAAGGATTATTGGTGCTCCCCTGCCCACCCTTCAAGAACTGTATACATCTAGAGTGAGGAAAAGGGCTCAGAAAATTACTCTGGATCCCTCACATGCAAGTTATCCCCTTTTTGAACTTTTGCCATCTGGCCGGCACTACAGAGCCCCAAATACCATGACAGCCAGGCACAAGAACAGTTTTTTCCCCCAGGCAATATACCTTATGAATAAAAATCTACCTTACCAATAAAAATGTGCAATAACCTTATATTTATTTGTTACCACATCCATCCTAGTACATCCCTGCATCTCATTATATTCTATTCCATTCTATAATCTATAGCACAACTGCACATACAATTTATTTATTTTTCTATTTTTGTCTATTTATATTTACATATGTGTATTTTTTATTCTCACCTTATTTTTTGTTGTCTGTGTGTTGTTGTCTCTCTGTACTGGAAGCTTATGTCACTAAAACAAATTCCTTGTATGCGCAAGCATACTTGGCAATAAAGCTCTTTCTGATTTTGATTCTGAAATGACAAGATTTTTATTTTGGGCCAGCCACTAGGGGCCCTATTGATCCCCTAAGGCAGTGGTTCTCAAACCTCTTCATGAAGTACCCCCAGCACTGCACATTTTGTATGTCTCCCTGTATCTGACACACCCACTTCAGGTCTTGTAGTCTCCACTAATGAGCTGATGAGTTGAATCCGGTGTGATAGATGAGGGAGACATACAAAATGTGCAGGGCTGGGGGTACTCCAGGACAGTTTTGAGAACCACTGCCCTTTATTTTTGTATTTTTTTTTGACTGTCCGAGGCTTTTGGGGGGCCTTAACATGCTCAAAAACTCTTGAAAATTGGCACACACATTGGAATCTGTGGTTATTAGGATGCCGCAGAGGCTGGGACCCGGGCATGGCACAGGGGCTTTACAGTGCCCCTGTCACAATCATAGACTTTTGTGTTTCTTTCTGTTTATGTTCACTTGCCCAAGTTCCATTGACCTAGTTTCCTGAGTTTCCACTTGATTACGGGAGTTAGTCTATCTGTGTTTTGTCAACTATCCTCATTTTGCCTGTGTATTTAAGTTGCTGTCTGTTCAGTTCTAGTTTTTCTGGTCTTGCCAATGCTGAGTGTGTCATATTTACCTATATGTGGATTAATTAAAGATTGTTTTGAATTCATCTTCATCTCCGAGCGTGCTTCTCGGCACAGAAACCTTACAGAAGACCCGACCTGCAAAAGTGTAAATACACAGCGTTTATTTCGTTTTTTCCTCGTTTTGTTTTTGTATTTATGGATTCCCCTCTCTATCTTCATCCTCCTGCTGGAACAGGAAAATCACTCCCTTGAGGACCACACAAAGGACTTTGTGGACATTTCCAACTTAACCCACTACCCGGACAGCTGCCTCTGCTCTTTCTACATCACTAGACTGAAAAACA